CTAATTTTTGACATTAGCTTTTCAAGAATAACGATGTTAATATTGCCGCTTCTCATAATAAGTACTATTTTATTGGGAGTATTTCTGTAATGTTGCTATTCTCATTTAAAAGTTTGATCATGAATGGTAGAGCAATTAAATTTGTCAGTTGATTGTATGGTTCTGTGTTCTTAACGTTGCATTTCTATAGATGTTTTGATGTATTCATAGTAATAACATGTTTTAAATAACTTCTTGTTAGTCATCTCTCAATCTCCACTTAATAGTTTATATATATAAGCCTCACGGTAATTTCTTTTCATGCTTTTGGTTATTAATAATTCATGTCTTTCTGTTAATTTTCTGTATTTGACATTTCACCAAAGTGTGTTTGTACCACAAATGCATGTGATGAATTATTCTACTCTTGGGCACTGATCAATCACAACACCTAATACTTTACATTTAAAACACGATCCTTTTAGTTTGTAAAGTGGTTTAACATCACATCATAAGTAGAACCACAAGAAAAAACTTTGAGAACATATGAGGAATGAGGGAGAGGGGGATGAGCTATTGCAAAGCTAGAAAACAATTGCAATGCAAATAAGTTTATGAATGGTGGACAAAGGCAATATTTAACAAATATAAGGATGCTATCTACACTGGCGTTCTCCTGCTCTGAGCAACTAGATCTTTGGGAGGCATGTGAAAATGACTTTATAAGTTTTTGTTATACAGTATGAATGGGCATGTTGGGTAAACGAAAGAGCAACAGAAAGTGTTTTAGAAGACCTTAAGTAGTGCGACTGCACTATCACCATATTCCACTATCTTTATGATGATGCACACATCACAAAATAATCTTGTAGATTTACTATAAGGAATAATGTGCTTTATGGTTTACAAAGCATTTCTACTTACTTATTTCAGAGGATCCTCAACACACCCCTTCAAGATATGTTAGATGCTACCACCATTTTTATAATTTTGGATACTGGGGCTTACTCTGGATTTGTCCCAAGAATAAATGGAGAAGGTATAATTTGAATTCAGGTTTACCACATTAAGTCCCTTGCCATTTCCACCGATCACACAAGAGCTTAGCCAGTTTAAGACTGTGTAACATATCTGTGCAATGACAGAGTGGTCTAGGGGTCTGAAAAGAACCATTGCAACTATAAAATTATATTTTCTGTAAAAATGGAAAATTATATACTTTCAAAATTGTATTTTGTAAATGTATTTTCAAATATCCATCTAAGGACTATATCGTAGATCTAAAGAAGGACTTCCACAGTGAGCCAGGCTTTAGAGAATACATTCTAGTAGTACTGATCGACAGATTACTTCCACATACTTGGCATGTAACATTGATTCAGAGTAGATATGTTTATAATAAGGAGATTGATACTCTCACTATTATTGTAAATAATATTACTTTAAAGCTATAAACCTAATAGTGCAAAATACAATTAAGAGAGATAATAGCTACATGTAGGTTTCTCTGAATCAAAAACTTTCATCTTGGCAATAGCAATGTTGTTGGAGACATTGCACATTGTGCAAAATCTAAATCTTGGGAAATTGTTCTCCTGATTGTTTTAATGCCATGTTTCTGGATGAGAAACAAGGAACTGAGCATTTTTTGAGCACCTAGTATATGCCAGGCCCTTTACTATATTTTATCTCATTTTTTTCTCAAGCTTCTGTGAGACAGGTATCATTGTCTTATTTTTAGAGATTCAAGAAAAAGACTCAGGGAGGTTAATTAACTTGCTCAAGGTCACACAGTTATTGATGAAAAAACTGGTATTGGAACCCAAGTTGGTCTGATGCAGAATCTATGCTTGCTCTTCTACATTGGTAAATTCTCAAATTGTTAGTGTGTGTAAGGATGACATGAGGGAGGGCGTGTTAAAAGATGATTGCTGGGTCCCACCCCTAAACTTTCTGATTTAGTAGATCTGGGGTGAGACCAAGACTGCATTTCTGCCAGGTCCCCAGGTGATGCTAGTAGTGTTGGTTGGAGGATGACTCTTTGAGGACCACTGTCCTGTATCATCCTGTCTTCAAGTGCCTCTTCGAACTCACATGATAGAAACATATTTGTTTTACTGTAAAAATATAACTTGATTTTTTGATAATTTATAAAATTTTTGATTTTTATAGATAAGTAATTTACATATATTTTTTTATTTTTGGTTTGTGCCATAGATAAGCAATTTAAACACTCTGTTATGTCAATGTTGCTATTCATTTCTAATAACTGATCTACAGAATTTTTTTTAAATCATGAAAGTCATTTAGAGGAATGATACTGTTATTTAATAACAATAATGTTAGATATACCAATGGGTGATACATTTTATCCTTAGACAATATATGATGGGGTTTTAAAATGACATTTGGATAAGAACATTTTTTTCTAGTCATTTTGGAACCATTGCTAAAGTTCAACCTCCAAAAGGACCTTGTAAGCAATTCTTACACAAACATATTAAACCTGACCCCAAATGCCCTGACCTACTTCCCATACTTCCTGACTAGAAGAGTAGAATAGTTGTGCTCTGATGACCAATACATTATAATGGACTTAAGAAACTATTCTGTCCCAAATCTGCCCCTGCCTTCCTGTGTTTGTTGACTGAGTGATTATTAATTTAAAAACCCCATGAGAACATCGCTTCATCATTTCTTATTCTTGGGTTGTCTCAACTAATTAAAGAATGTGACTCCCCTATTGGGGAGAATGATAAGTCTAAGTTTCAGCTCTTTGCCCAGCAATTAATAACAGCAGGAGATCATCCGACCCAAACAAACTTTAGATTTTAAATGACATTTTATTTAGGCCAGGGGACCAGGTAATATTATTTTTAGGAGGAGAGCAGAAGGTGTTATGTTAGTGCTTCTAATTACCTAGAAGGAAAGCATTTGCTACAGTGCAATTATGATTGGCTGCAGCAGTTCAACCTGGCCCTTAGCATGATCCCTAGATGGAGAGGTCACACTGTTTTTGCAATAGCCAACAGGGGGGATGATGGTACATTTAGGCATTAGATCTTTGGCTGGGGAAAGGGATGAATTTTGTACATCAAGATCATTGCTTTGGTCATCTGTAAGTCACTTTAGCCATTGAGTCTTCTGACATTTATGCCCAATTAATCATGTCTTTATATTGTCAGTCTCTTTTTAAGCTAATATCCTGTAGGAAGGGACCTTCCTAATCCTGTCCAACTCTCTGAGGGTTAAGATTTTAATATAAGCAATTATGTCAGGGAATTAAGAAAACGGTTTCTGTTGTGCAAGAATTTAAATAAACTGGATGCTTGCACACCATTCCCTGTCTTCCTATTTCTTCATGCTCAGTTTTCATAAATATAAACAAGTTTTATGTGGGAGGTTGGATTTTATGCATGTCATACCAAATGTTGCAGCTGAGGCATTCACTATCAATCAGATTTCAATTCCTCACCTGCCAAATCCTGTCTCCCTACAAATGAACATTCTCTGGTGAATTCATTCTGACTGTTCCTGAACTTAGGCCGGCAATCCTTATGAAATTTGTTGCAGCTGCAAAAATGTGTCCCAATATGGAAATAAAATCCCAAAATAGTCCTCTGAATCAGAGTTAGCCATTTATGGGACTTTCTCTCCCCTGCTAGGTGCCCATTGAATGTTTGTTGAGTGAGGAAGTGAAAGCATCAGTTAGCCCCTAAGTTTGTATCTGCATAACAACAAATGATTTGGGAAGCTGGTTATAATTATTACACTTTTGTATAATAGTTTATGTTCGAATTGACTGGTCATTTTGAATAATGCACTTGAACATTTGTGTTTTGGTTTTTCAAAAATTAAGCAGGAATAAGAACATGCTTTTGCTTATAGATTGCCTTCCACATGAATTACCAATTTATGTGTCCATTTAATATTATATAGGGGGCAATCTAAGGTCACTTTAATCACATTTTTTAAATAGTGCAATAGTTTTAGTAAATTTAAATAGCTTGCATTTGAAGCTGATTAACAGATCAGTGTCAAAGTTTGAATATCCCGAAGGGATAGAAATTAACCCATTTAGTAATGTGCACTGATAAAATGTTCTTAATGGACTAAGAAACTTTCAATAAATTTCAATATTTTTGTTCAGCAAGAAAAGATATAATGGATCAGAGTTCATAATTGTAAAGTTGTAATTGAATTGAAAAATAACATTTCTTAACTATAACTTGACTGATCAGAATCTTAAATTGTAACTTTTTTCTTTACACCAATTTTATGAGCTACATATGCCCCCCACAAAAAATCTAACAGTTGAAGATATTTTAATTGAAAGATATATTTCATTGTATGTCCTGATATTCTGAGGTCAATATATATTCATTCCAATCCATGCATAACAGATTTTTATTTAATTTTCAATGGGCAAAGTGTTGGAATAACTAAACACAACTGAAATTTTACTGCTGGTATGTGCATTTTCTTTCTAGGCCCATTGCTTTCCCACAGCTGGAATTAGACATGGAATAACATATACTTAATGGAAACTAGTTTTGCCATGCAAATGCACTGAAATTGCACATTATTTGAAAACTGTGTTTACTATTTTTTATTTGTTTTTTGAGATAGGGTCTTACTGTATTGTCAGGCAGGAGTGCAGTGGTGTAATCAAGGCCCACTGCACACTTGACCTCCCAAGCTCAACCCATCCTCCCACCTCAGCCTCTCAAGTAGCTGGGATTACAGGTGTGAATTACCACACCCTGCTAATTTTTAAACATTTTTTTGTGGAGATGGGGTTTTGCCATGTTTCTCAGGCTGTATGTGTACTATTTCGGTCAAATTCAGGATTGCTTTAAAATGTGAATCGCAAGAAGCTGTGGATATCAGTTTGTGTTGATCACAGTTTAGCAGTTCTTAAGGAGACCACACCCTCCCCCCACCCAAAAAAAAAAAAAAAAAAAAGCAAAATGAGAGAAATTTGTTTTTAAGCCTTCTAGGAAATGTGCAAAAAAAAAAAACTTTAGATGGTTTGTAAATGCAATTAGTGATATAATTTTAAATAGAAAGACCTTTGTTCTCATTAATGTTGCCCTACATTTAGTTTTTGGAGATGGCTTCCTATACTGTCAGAGGTTTATAATTCAAATTTTGTATTTTTTCTTCCAGTGTGGAGGAATGAATGTAATTAACTTTAAACATCTTGATACAGAAGGACCTGAATCTGTTTGTAAAAGTGACTAAGTTTCCTTTATCCCCCTGGAATTCCCATGAGTTGAGGATCATCTGAATCTGAGTTGCATCCATGAACAGTTTTATCCCTTGGTTTCTTATTTGCATGGAAGGCATTTTCATAACAAAGTACTGGTTTAGTAAAAGCAGTAAATAGGAGTCTCCATGCAAGAGAAATTGGAGTTTCCTAACATGCATGTGATTTAAAAAATAAAAATAAAAAATAAGGTGCCGTGAGATGCTGGCAGTTTTAACATTTGGAACCAAAAGTTCTTACGTATATTTACATCCTAACTGCTCAATTTTACCTTACAAGCTTCAATTTAGGAAAATATACAGTACTTTTGCATATAATGGTACCTTGTTAGCCCCTGAGTCAAGTAGAGAGGATTTAAATAGAAAAAGGAAAACAGCCATTAAAAGCACTTACATTGTATGTGGAGTAAATAGTACAAAATGATTATTTCCCTGGAAGACCAGGATCAGAAACATGCCTATGAAGACCCAAGATTCCTACAGTGCTTAGGGATGAATCTGGCAAAGAAGGATGCCTAATTGGATGAAGGTAAGTTTTTCTTTGCCGCAGGTGAAGCTCTAAAGACAGATCACTGTCTTGTTTTAAAAGTGAAGTCAAGTTGTCTTCTGAAGCTGTGTTCAGATGCACCCCACTTGAAAGGGATTCTTTGGATTTAAGTTTAGATTTTTCAAGGTCTAGAAATTCAGGACACTGATGGAAAAAGAACAAAACAAGTTTTTATAATTCACATTGATAGTCATTGAAAATTACACTAATAAAAACTGAAGCCTTTTTTTCTCACTAATCTGTATTTGATTAGTGATATTAGCCAACATTTCCCTCCCAAAAGGAGTCAAGACATTGGAGATTGGTTATCAGTATAGATAATCCTAACTAATCATTCCGAGAACTTTTATTTAACCCTGGAACCAGATTTTAAAAATCAAATTAAAAATATATTACTTTACATTGAGTTTTCCAGATGAATTAAATTCAAAATTTAAGACAAAATTGAGATGAGGAAAGGCATCACTTGATGAATAAGAGGGTATAAGGAGGAAAGAAAAGATGGGAAATAAAATCAGTCATCCCTAGTCAGATAATATTACCTAAACCTACTGAAAACAAATAACAAAATAGACGGTTTTACATGTTTCCCGGTCATTCAAAACTAGTTAAATTGATTTCTACTTTCAGATTTTTAGAAGTATTGCATTATTTTCCTTCTGGCATACTACCTTCTTTTATTAGTGTAGTTTCATTTTCCAGAACATCTTAAATTAAATTCCCAAACATCTAAAAAAGTTTTATGAGATTGTTCTACAAATCTTTATTTAAATCATTGTTCTTAGGTCCAATTTCACCATAATGTTTAACTAATTAAGACTAATTCCCAAGACAGAATTACAAGGAAAGCTAGACTACTCGTATTAACATAATTCAAAGACCCCCTTTGAGGGCTTCAGAAGTAGGATAAAGAACTTTAAATTGCTTTTCTTACCATGTTTATCATCCAAGTGAAAACAATTTAGAGATCTCTGGTGATGGGTGGGGTACAGAAGATATTACTAGTCTGATGGCATTTGAACCTCAGGTCTAATCTGGCCAGCCTACGATTTCTCCTCCCCTTCCTTCCTGAGACCTCGCCCAGCCTTTGGCACTGTAGAAAATTACAGATTTTTCTTTGAAGCTCTTTTTGGACCCAGATTTTTCTCTAAGCCCTTTTTGGAGCCAGGAAGACTATTCCTTAGACTGCAAAGCTCTACCACATATAAATTTAAGCAGGTTGATTCTGGAAGAAAGGTTTTCCTTTAAAAAAAATGCTAACGTTTAAAATCATTATTCTAGCTTCATTGTTCTCAAACTTTAAATGAACATAAAAATCAGCGTGGGCTTGTTTAAAATGCAGATTACAGGGCCCATTTCCAGAAATGCTAATTGCGTAGAAACAGAGCTAGGGACAGAAATCTCTCTTTTCCACAGCATCCCAAGTGATTCTGATTTAGGTGACCCCTGGAAACACACGTTGAGAGACACACTTGGTTGGATGGTATCCACACTCACTTGTGAGGAAGGGCTGAAACTTCGATCAGTTTTGATGGATGCTGCCGGTTGACTGGTTCTCATCAGCCGGATGATGGGTCTCTGATATTCTGCTCCTGCTGTTACCATACTGTAGGCTGGGGGGACCACAGTGGTTTGTTTCTGCAGCAACTGTAGAATGGTCTGGATGTCAGTGGTCATTTGGGATTCAAGCCTGCAGAACAGATAGAAGTAGGAAAAGACAGTCCTAAAATAGTCCAGAATTTCAAGAGCATTTAAAAAAATTTCAGCACTACCAACAAACAGAATTATGGCCTTGCTTTAAACAAGAAGGACAGGAGAGGGAGCACAGAATCTCTATTCTTTCCTGATGGATACTTACTTGTGTATGTCTCTCTAATGATTCTGATAAAGACTTAACTTTCTTGTTCATATTAAGAGTTAACAGAAAATCAGATGAACAAAATAGACTACATGTTTACTAACCTTCATTGATTTCAAAATGTAAAACACACTGATAATTTATTTTTAATCAGTAATTGTCTTTGCTTTTTAATTAGGTTTTACTCAGTTTCTTGTGAACATTTTATTTGCTCTTAAAAAATAGATTTGTAGCACATTTCTTTCATAACTGTAGCATCCCAGGATAATTTCTCATGTGTTTTTACATTCATATTAATGCTTTTTAACCTTACCTCTTTCCTATTCATTTTAAGTATTGTATATTATTCATTGTATTCTTTCTTTAATGTTTAATGCTGCTTAATGTTAAATTCTTTTTCTCTCTAAATATGTCATGGCCTTTCATATGTAAGAAGTTGACCAAATTTGACTTCACTTACTTCTAATTGACCCATCTGGCCTGCAAAATACCAGTCTATTTTTTCCCCAAAGCTCACAAGTAGCCAACTGGCCTGTTAATTTCATTCTCATTTTAAATTAAAATTTAAGGGAAAATAGCAAAATATAATTGGTCAGATTCTCTTCCTTTGCATGTGTTAGCAACAGCATTAAATACAAAGGAAATTTTGTGGACACAGAACAGAAAATCTGGACCATACGCCTCTTTAGAAAATTCTTGTAACTCCACTTATTTATGCTGTTTTGACTCTGAATAAAGAATGGAAATAAAACAAAAAAATGTAAAATCATAGGATTAATTTTGCCCAATTAAATTCATGCTGTATTTAAAAAAATCAAAGTAGAAATTGGCTTTTGATTTGATAGAGAACCTGGAAAACATGAGAAAAAAAAATACATATATGTATATATATATTTTAGTTTTTGATATTAACACTCCAAAAAAAAAATCTAAGAATCACAATAATGCATTATTTTTACAGTTTTTCTATAGTTAGTAAATATAGCCATATAGCTTTGTGTCTTCTAAACCAATAGCTATGAATTATACATGACTTTGCAAATGTCATTTTTTCAAATGTCAAAACCACACACTGAAAAGGGGAAAAATTGAGTTACCAACTGGTTTATTTATCTACTTTTGATACCTGATGGTCTGATCTAGTTTGTATGCTTCCAACTAAACTAAGCAGACCCATTATTTCACTGTTATGTGTTATACACATTTCCTTAAGGAATATGTGTTATACACATTCTTTCATTTCACTTATCTGTACTCAAAAATCTTTCCTTATTTACCCCATTCAGAATTACTTTCTTCTCTGAGTCTCCAAAGCAAATTATACATTCAGATTCATCATAAATATTTCTGTACAAATGTATTCCATTACTAACAGCATTCAGTTGTGATTGGCTTACACAACGTTTGTTACATTGAATGTAAAAGGATTTGGGGGAAAGAATGGAAGAAGAACTGCATCAATAAGGGAGATTCAAGATCCAAAAGTGAGAAAAAATTATGGTGATGTTTTTGTCATATAAATCCTTTGCCAAACAGCAGCTGTCTCTGAGAAATAAAATCTCTTTATCATGGATTCTACCTACTTGAATAGTGTCTATGAGGAAAAAATCTGTTGGAAGGCGAGGCTTCAGCATCCATACGTCCAGTAATTGCAGCCCACTGCCATGAGTGGGACTCAGGCACATGACAGCTCATGTGCAGGTAAAGTGGCTGGTGCAGGGTGAGGACAGAGACTGTGTCAGTATAACTTAGAAAAGAGCATAGCCCACCTCTGTCAACATGACATTGTTGTTTGTTCCAGGAAAACTTTGAGAAAAATAAGGCTACACTAATAAATAACTTTGCTACTTCAGGAAATTTCTATAAATCACCTTATTAGAGACAGTATCGGTTCATCTCAACAAATACTTTTTTAATCAGACAAACTTTATCAAGACTTGCTTCAAGATCCTCACCTTACTGTGTCCATCAATCCTGAAGTATATCATAGACTTTACCCAATTCCAGTGAGCTCCCCACTTTGAAATACCCAGACTCCAAACTTCTATAAATGTTCTTCTTCTCAGCGGAATATTTCTGAGACATCACTGAGACTCTGGCCAGATGGCAGTCTTCCTTTCTGCAGTAATTCTGAATATTTAATTTTGTTTTATTAACTAGTTGTTAGATATCTTGGGTAGTCCAACAAAGGGCAGCAGTTAGCTGATAGGTTTTTTAATATGCATAGGGTTGTATTTCAGTGTTTTATGACAAGGGTCTGTTAACTTAATAAGAATGGACTCTTGGGCCAGGCACGATGGCTCATGCCTGTAATGCCAGCACTTTGAGATGCCAAGAAGGGTGGATCACTTGACCTCAGGAATTTGAGACCACCCTGGGAAGCATGGCAAAACCCTATCTCTACAAAAAACTACAAAAATTAGCCAGGTGTGGTGGTGTGCACCTGTGGGCCCAGCTACTCAGGAGGCTGAGGTGGGAGGAAGGCTTGAGCCTGGGAGATCGCACCACTGCACTCTAGCCTGGGTGACAGAGGACAGAGCCAGACCCTATCTAAAAAAAAAAAAAAAAAAGCGGACTCTTACACGAGACTAAATAGCCTGCTTTACTCAGGAGGAATTACAAAGAATTTAAAATAAATCCAGCTTGGTATTTAAAACAGAAAATAACATAGTTTTAGAACTTTTTCTTCTGTCAGCATAGTTACAAAACTGTGTAAAGTGAATATTTTTATTCATTCACTCAGAGACCCACAATGTACCAGGTACAATGTTAGGTAGCAAGGTGAAGGAACAACATGATAATGAATAAATATGAAATCTGGTTTAACAGTGCTAACAGAAACTAAGTACTTAGGAAAGACAAATGAAGGAGGCGCATAAATAACCACAACGCTAGGCAAAGCAATTGCTCAATGCCATATTAGAGGCATGCAGATAAACTGCTCTGTGTGCAATGGAAGGAGTCATTACTAACAATTTTTACATTTTCTCTGGTTTCCCTACTCAAAGAGTGTGTGTGTGTGTGTGTGTGTGTGTGTGTGTGTGTGTGTGTGTTTGGATGGAGTCTTGCTCTGTTGCCCAGCTGGAGTGCAGTAGTGTGTGTGTGTGTCACTGCAACCTCTGCCTCCCAGGTTCAAGTAATTCTCTGCCTCAGCCTCCTGAGTAGCTGGGATTACAGGCACCTGCCACCACGGCTGGCTAATTTTTGTGTTTTTAGTAGAGATAGGGTTTCACCATCTTGGCCAGGCTGGTCTCAAACTCCTGACCTAGTGATCCACCCGCCTCGGCCTTTCAAAGTGCTGGGATTACAGGCGTGAGCCACCGTGCCTGGCCAAAGTGTGGTCTTTATATCAGCAACACTGGACATTGCTGGGAGCTTGTTAGAATGTGGAATCTCTGCCAATTAGACCTATTAACTTGAATCTGCATTTTAATAAGATCTCCAAGTGAGTCAAATACACATTGAAATTTGAGAAGCACTGGTCTAGGATCATGTCTTAATGATTTACTTAAATAGGTATATCTGCAGGCATAATATATACATATAGAATAACATTTCTTATGTAAACCTTTAACCCTATCGATAGGTTAATCAGTCATTAAAGCAGAAAAGAAGTGGTAGCAAGAACCACTCAAAATAGACCATTTTATTTGTTCTTACCGTCTTTTGTATTTAATATGTGTATTTGAATGAGACAAATGGTGTAGGAATCCACAGTTCTATATTTGAACAAATGCCGAAGCTAAACAGGGTAGACTCAGCTCTAGAAAGTGTCCTGGGATTCTCGCTCTGCAAAGTAGAAGTCTGAGTTGAGCTGCCCCCTTCAAACATTTTGTATACATTTAACTTCTAGAATAAAGTGGAGGTGAAAGGTTGTTAGAAACGGCAGTGGAGTAAAAATGTAATATTTTGGATTTTAAATCCCAAACAAGCAAAAAAAAAGTTTGTGAAAATATCAGAGGTAATTAGAAACAAATGTCAAAGGAGATGTAGTATTGGTGGTAGTGTCATCCTAAATAATGAACGGCGGCACTCTAAAAGGAAAAGATATTTATATGGGAATATGCAGCACAATGGGAATATCCATGCCATAGTAAAGTATGTGCTCATTCTGAGAAGTAAAGATGGAGATTTTTAAAGGAAAAATGAGGAGGACTACATAATTGTTTTGAAATGATTATCTTTGGCTACAAAGATCAATAACAAGGGTGACGCTGGTCCGAGATTGGACAGACAGCTGCTGGTCAGATGTCCTTGCAGAAGTATTCTTTGTGTTAGGTTGTAGTGGCCACTGTGCAAGGCTGTGGATCTTATAGAGTCTTTGTGATAGTTTTTGTTATCAGGCATACACCCCTCTCTTCCTGGCCTTCCCCAGCTGTATTTGTCAGGGATTTTCTAACATTAATGACTCCGTTTTGATTTTGACTACTTTCACAGCAGCAATTCAAAACATATTCAGGAAACACATACCGATATCGGGAACACGTTGAAAGAGATTTAATTGCATTTTGTGGAAAAGTTTTATACAGTAATAATAATATACTAACGTAATAAAATAGCAATAACAATTTTTATTGCTGTTGGGTGATTGCACACCAAATAGATCATAGATAAATGTGCCCTTAGAACAAATGTTTTAAGCAATCATTGACTTATCCTAGCAGCAATGATTGGCACCCATGACAGAGCAACCAGGTGATGCTAAAAATCTCAATTTTAGTTCTGATGAAAGGTCCAAGCCAGGAATTATATGTAGAGTAAGAGAATATACTCAAATGAACACCAATAATAGAAGCGAAGTTCCTTGCTAATCAAATTTTACCTATCTGCAAGTAAATCATCTTCCATTTTGTATAGTACATGTAGTTCCCATTTACATTATTTTAGTCCTTACAGTAGCATAACAGGTAGGTATAAGTCAAAGTAGGAAATGGAGAGAAATTTAAATGTTTTGACCCGGTAATCCTGTAAATCATTAAGTAGCAGACTTAAGACCTTTTCCTATGCTTACCAATTGCAAGTACAGTGATAGGATTGTGCTAAATAAATCACTGCTGCTTCTGTCATTCATTCATTCACTTGTGTGTTCAACAATAAATGGCATGGACAAAATGCACAAAAAATTTTAAGCATAGATAGTGAATAAATCAGTAGTTTATGTGATATAGGCAAAACTCAGATATGTGTTAAGTACAGATGAGTAAGCAAGTAGCTTGCTAAACATGGCAGAATTCATAAGATATATTAAATAGCATGCTAGTAACCTGCCAGGCATATCAACGATAGAAATATGTAACAAACAAGAGTGTTGCTTATACATAGAGATGGAAAGAACAAATTATTCTCATGTCACCTCTAGGTAAACAACTGTCATCCCAAAATATGGTCACCCATTGGTGATACCAGTATCATTGCATTCTGACTCCACATGTGCTGTACCTACGAAAGGCTGATGAAACACATGACTGTTGAGCTGGCTAGTTGGAAAGCCCCGCTGAGGTCAGGTATACTATACCTTGTATCCTTGTTATGGAGCAAGTGTGTGCCACTGGCACAGGAGATTATTTTGGTCTGCAGGCCTGCAAACCTCAACTCTGGTCTTGGTAACTTCATTACACTATGGCAAATGCATGAACATTGTGTAAGTCAGAATTGGGGTAGTGCAATCCTTTTACCATGCTTGCGCGTATTCAAAATGTGTTAATTGCCCCATATGGTTTCCCTCTTCTATCACTTGTGTTTTAAATTGATTTAATAAATCTTGTGATTAGAGCATTTGAATTTAGTCAGTGCAGTTTTCTGTCTGAGACTACTGGAATATCTTGCCTGGTGGTGAGCTAAAAGGCTACTATTGGATCAAGACAAATTCGCAAATGAAACCCAATTAAAACAGCTGTGTCATACTCACTCATATATTCTTTTCAATCCTTTTGACCACTTTAATTTTAAGGAAACCATGCAGACTTAGGGGAAGAGATTGCCTCCTCCCTAAACTAAGATTTATTTATCATGTTTAGTGATTTAGATCAAAGGTGAAGGAAACAAGAAACTCTGTGTGTGAGACTTTTAATTCAATTACATTTTTTGACAACCTGACTGAATAACTAAAAGTCTAAATGTCTTTGTTAGTATTTTTTAAATGCCCTAACACATAACTAAGCTATCAGGAACATCCGAATAAGTGTAAAAGGAGGATTAAAAGAGAAAGGGTGTTAGTTAACAACTTAATTAGGAATTATTTTTGTGGGGGAGGGGGTTTTCTAAGGTAGCCAGTGCTGGTGAAATACTAACTGGATGACAAACAAAGAAAAAAATAGGATTTATGCTGCCAGAAGTATGAAGTGTTCTAAATAAATGCTCCTTTCGACACACATTATTCTGTCAACTTCTAGTCTTATTTTAAAGTAGTAAATGTATAAGGAAATTATGAGATCATGGCAAGGAAAATTTTCCATTTGTAAAGAGTAGGACTGGACCCACGTAAGGGTTTTGGTTATGTTCTCCTTTTACCCTGTCACTGCTTATACCTGTTAAGTTGTTCCTGGAGCAGATCTAATCTTTGTTCCACTTCCCCGTAGGTGAGGTCACTTTCGGTTTCAGAGATACCCCAGGCAGCTCGCTGAAGTGCGGACGGACTGGAGTCTTCAGGCTGGGGATGTGCATTTTCTCGTTCCCAGCTTCGCATGTCAGTGATGTCTGTGGAAAATAGTGAGATGGATGTCAACCCTCTTAGGTGCCCCTTTGCGTCAATAACACACAGATATCCACAAGACAAGCTGGAAAGGGATCGGAGTATAATCTGAGAGGCAGAGAACCAAAAGTATTCAGTGATGTGTCCAGGGGCCACGGCCAATTGGTAGCAGGGTCCCACTTTCACCCTGCTGGCGCTACCTCCCATATCCTTTTCCATGTGAACAAAAACATGTAGCAGGTGCTGAGTATTGATTAGGATTTCGTTTTTTTTCTGTTTGTGCTAGGAGAAGATAAGCACAGCAGAACCAAAACTGATTAGAGAGCAATGAGTCTGTTTTGTTTGCACCAAATTATCTAGGGTTTAAGATTTTTAGGGCTCTTTCCCACAGGATAACTTGCATATGTTATGACTTAGAGTGGGCCCAAGAAGAGAGCCTTAGAGAAGTGCTGACCTTCAGGGTGATTCCCTTTGGCCAACCCAATTCAAATAGAGCCAAGAAACCATAAGCCATGAAAACTGGGAAGAATCTTACACGTCCCCTCGTCGCCAGCTACTGTTTCATGTTTTTATGTTTTCTTGTAGCCGCTTCTGTGCTGCCCTTTACCATAATTATATTGCTTTCTAGTATGTTTTCCTGTGGTTCTTTATTTTAAATATTGCTATGTTACTCTACTTTAAGATAAACTATTTGTTCAAGTCTACTATTTAAAATGTTCTAAGTATCTATTATGGGCCAGATAACTTGGTAAATATGGAGGAACTAAAGACAAAGGAGACCATAGATCCTGAACTTGAAGAATTCAGTCTAGCAGGGTTGTGATCACTTTTCATACAGAGATCCATTTTTCTGAACTTCTTTTAATTTCCTGTTTCTCCTACAATCTATATTTTAAGCTGTCAATATTTGGGGGCAAATATGTCCTTTCCCTCTTATTTTTGTCTATATTTTAGATGTTTTGCTGCTCTTTTAACCTCTAAGAATGATTAACAGTTTGGAAAATAAAACTTATGAAAAAATAGACTGGAGCTGGGAATTGACTTTGGAGATGAAGGAGAAACATTTTTTTCACTGGGAGGGCTAGTAGGAAGGAAGGACTATCTAAAGCTGGTATTCATTTTCGCATAGAAAGAGACTTGAATTACAGAAAGTGATTTTGGTTTGATAGAAAGACTTAAAAAAACTTGACAAGTATCTATGATTAAACACTGAGAAAAGTTATTATGTAAAGTTATGGAATTCTTGGCTATTTAAAAAAATTGGATAGAAAGTAACTGAATTGGGCAGGATTAGCTATGATTTTAGAAATAGGAAACAAAACCATTGGACTTCTCAAAGCTCCTTCCTTTCTTGCAGTTTCTCTAAGGGTAGTTTAAATGTATCCCCTTTCTCCAAGTAGAAGACAGACATGTCTGTATTCTTTCTTCATGGTTTTCCTCTCACTCATTATCTTTTATCATTGAATATACAGAAATTTCTCAAATGAGATGCCTATAATTTCTGCCTCAACAGGGTGAGGTTTGACAAAGGAATTAGCATATCCAAAGTCAACATTAGAAAAATATAGGATCAGAGTTCCTTCTTCTGCAGAAATGGCTAACAGACCTCAGAGGGCTTGCTATGAATTCCAGAAAGACTCTTCCTGACTACGGCTTTGTTACTATAGGGATCCTGGGTTCGTTGTTATTTAAAGTGGCAGTTTATCATTTCTTTTGATATTTTATGAAACATGGCAAAATATAAGTGAAACAAGAAAGATACTGCTGGGGTTTTAAGTCACTTATTGCAGATCTTCACTGAGAACTATGATTTGTTATTCACAGACATTTGAACCTATTTAAAATGCAAAACAATAATATCTTAGCAAACTGGATTTTGAAGATTGGGCCAGTAATCCTAAGCAAACTTCCAGAATACCTATATAAATGGTCTGGTGATGCTGATGCTTGTCTCTGTCTAGTCTGCTGCTAGCCAGTTAATGTAGGAATCTTCCTTTCAAGAAGGCAAGAACTGATAAGACTGAAGTTACATGTTATGCTCACGAACGTTTTGAGCCAAGAAAGCTTACAGAATTTCTGCCTATGTTTAACAGCTCTCTTCTTTCCAAATCATATATAATAAATTGGTTTTTAAATGACAATGGTGAATCACATGCAATAAATTACGGAGGATTATATTTTTTCTTCAGGGTTCAAGAAAAAATAATTACCTTATCAGAAATGAATGAAATGTATATCTTAGAGGCTTTCTTGATTATAATTTACTCTTTAATTAAAATCCGAAGATACGTAATTAGCTTGTTTTAACAGCAGTATAAAAAATGAGGAGTTCAAAGGGGAAATTCTGGTTAGTGGTCGTAATCAAATGAACATCCTTGTAGACACTTTCTAAATATAGCTTGGAAAGAATCTGCACTTGGTTGCCTTGGAAAATGTTGCTATAGTTGCAAGACACATTTCTGGAAATGGATGAACAGAAAGTAAACTTTCACTTTGCTCTGAGTAGACAATTTTCCTAGAGTCAACTTTTGGCCTCAATCTTAGTAGGAACAGAGTCCATTTAATTTGTTCTCTTTTCATTTTAGTTTTGCCTAAATGTGCTCCTCTGTTGGATACAGCATCACAAATGTTAGGAATATGAGTGAGTGAAATTTCCTATTGATGGTGGAACTAAAATTTGCGGAGGTTTAGTAGTTTGAACTGCAGCAGCGACAAGTCACGTGTTACGTATTAATGCAGTATGTCATCTTAAAAATCATTAGGGAATGAAATTTGCAGTGAATGAAGTTTTAGAATTCCCCATTGATTAAAGATATTAATTAGCCAGGCTAACCATGTGTCACACTGATTGAAACTATATGACATCAATTCAATTGACATGCATATTTAGCTATACATTTTCAAGATAACTATTTGAATAGGGATTGCCCTGTAAATTCTTAACAATTAGAATATGTAGATATTAAATTTGTTAGAATATTGTTTTTTGTGTATATGTCCAATTAAAGATAATTGGAAGGCGTAGCAAAGAAAAGTATATGAGGAAGGGCATGAAAATTCATTGTCAGTGAGAGTCATTATAAAGTCAGAAAATCCCCAAATTATATGTTTAATAATGTGCCACTTGAGACTCTAAAACTCAAGAGGAAAACAACAAGTATTTTTATTAGGTTTACATTATGTTGATCTTTGGAGATGGTAGAGATGGTTCAGTAAGCTCTTCAGAACTCGTGACTTCCATGATACAACTTGTATCTATTTTTAGCACTTCCCAGAATCCATTTTCATAAATAACTAAAATGGGACATTTGGTAATCACATTTAATATTCCATTCTTCCATTGTGATAAATGAGGTACTATTTTCACTCACTTCATCAAGATTTTAGATTGTTCAGAGAACACTTGCATATATTCTTAGCTTACTTCAATGTGGGGTCATGAAAAAAGTGGATGTTACATGATAGGGATAGCAACTCTGGAAAAATATAAAGCCTAAGTATCCTAGATTTAATAAAAGCTTTGTGGCTGAATATGGTACTTTGGAATAATGATGATAAGTAATATTTACTTACTCTGTACTAATGTACTAATTTTGCTATCCTACCAGGCCTAGAACATCCTGTTTTTCCTTTTTTAAATATTCTTTTGATGCTTTGTTATGCCTTCCTAAACTTTATATTTTTATACATCCAAGGATATACAAATTATTAAAACTTAAAAAATAAAACCTGTGAGAAAATACTAACAGTTGAAGATTTTATTTCAGAAAAAGTAATTTACATGTTATCTTAATAACTATAACCTCGTTGGTTAGATAATATTATTCCTCTTTTAAAGATGCATAAGCTGAGTCTTGGTGGGTTTGGTCAAATCATTTACCCAAAGACATAAAGGGAGCAAGTGGCAGAGCTGCACTTGGAACCCAAGCAGTCGTTACTGGTAAGACTTACTAGCTAGATCTAAAGATCTCGCCTCTGATATGCTAAAATAGTTGTTCTTCCATGTAAGAGTTCTTTAAATTTTCCTGAATTTCTCATTTTTTAGCATGAAATCTGTATCTACTAATCAAGCATTATTACCCAAATCGTGCACATTTTCTACAACAAAATCTGTACATTTGGTTATTCCTTTTGGAAAAAAAAATAAAAATAAAATAAAGATCAGAGTTTATTTCAGGGCATTTCTCCACTCTTTCTCATATTCTCTGTAAAATTAAATTTTGGTTGGCATGTATTATAGTGTGATTGCATTGGCCTTTCATACTATAATATTATAGGGTTGGGGGTGAGAATTGGGTACAGAAGATACATATAATGAACCAATTGATTAGCTGTCTTAAAATATTCATTGATCCTCTCTCCCCATTGAAATTACTACAGCAGACTTTCCCATAGTTTTCTACTTGACATTATATTAAGTCTGGTTGGTCACAAAAACCTCTCGCGCTATAAGTGTTTGGGAATAATTACCGCTTGTTTTAGAATAGCGCAAACACTTCATAGATAATCTGAAATCTGAACGCTTCGTGAACATTTCATGAACTTGAAAGCGATTCGATTAACATGTGTCAGTACAGTTCTTAATTTGTAAAAAGTCATCATTTTGTGATTAGCACTGAAGAGAGACCACCTGATGTCTAACTCTGAATTACCTTTGCAAGAGTGACTTCTTTTATCTATGTGCATTCTTCCTGAGGTGGGCACTGTTTCTTCAAAATCGAGCCCAGATGCTTTCCCTATTCCTGGAGAAGAATCTACTATTCCTGAGAAGAGCGGCTTTTGTTCATCATCAATGGAGGAGATGAAAGATGACGATCTGCTTTTTTTCTCTTCAAAGTGTCTCCTGGAACTCTGATAATGTCTTATGGTATCTGCAGAGTCTTCAGGATCATTTGTACTGTTTTCTTCGCCAAAATATATCAAAGAAAAGTTATTTTATAGCAGATAATTAAATGTGAGACTGTATGCATATTACACTACCTAGCTGTATATAAACTAGCTTTTTTCTATTGAAAATGTAGCTACTTGGATACTTAATGTTTTAAATTCAAGGGTTATTAGATTATCTTAGTGAAATAAAGTATTCATTTCAAAATTAAAAGAATATTTACAATAGTAATAATGTTTATGTCTCAGAGGAAAACTGTATGATAACTTACACAGTTTTTTATATGTTCAACAGTTATTTGTATTCTGAGAATCTGGTACAGTCTTTCTTTAGGGAAATGAAAAAGACAAGGGAAAATGTGTCCCAATTTTAAAATATCACCACTATGCAACTTATTATTTGTTTATTTTTAACCTGCATGCCTTATTATCTGTTTTAGCTGCTCATGCATTGCAAAGGTCAAAATTGGAAGCCTCGTTGTAGTAAAAGACTGGCAGGCTGAATTTCAACCTTAGTCTGATTCATGTAATGGCCTTGGCATTCCAGGCAGTTTGGTTGTGTAGCATAATGCAAAGAATATAAAGCTTAAATACAGTAATTAAGGTGGGTTTTACCTAATTACATTAAAGCTGGTAGTGCATATTGGCTGTTTTATACTGAAATGTCAGGATAATTTCAGTCATGAAGGTTGTGTTAGAACATATTTCAGCAGGAAAAACTCAAAGAGACAAATCCCAGAACTTGTTTCTATTAGTGTCCTGGGGAGACAGTATAATTCTCCATCTGGTTTCTGCTAATAACTAACCAACAAAACTCCAGAAGGTATATCGTTTTCTGGAGAAATGGTGAAGACAGTGTCTCCATCCGCTGTACGCCTCAGTGTGCTTACTTGGTTATTTATAGAAGGCCAAATGAACCGATGGAAGGCCACGCCAGAGAAACTTCCAACTGTTTTTAAAAATTCCCATATGGCAGAGAAATTCAACAAAGATTTTTTCCCTTTATTTTTTTAAATCATAATTTAAAATATGAAAAGTCAGAAAGCAGCCCAAGGTAAAAGCAGATAGAGTTTAAAAATCAGTTTTATGTGAAATTGTTATTGAGGAGTTCATGTTCTGTCAATTAAAATTAAGTCTAGCAAAAGCAGATTGCTTATTTTCTTTAAGATTTCATGCTTGCTCAGTGTCTTCATCATTACTGAGAAAGCCACAGACCTTTCCGATCTCCAACATTACAGACATCATTGATTACTTACTGTTACTTGTATATCCCCACTCAATCACTAATCTAATTGGTTGTAAATATTCAGATCAAATCTTCTTACAAAAAGCTTTTTCTCTTCAGTGTCATTGGCACAGACCTCCTTAAACCTCTAAAATTCCATCTTGCCATCTTCTTCCCAACTTTCTTTGTTTTTAACTTCTCCTCTTCTCTAAAGCCCTCTGAAAATTTGATCAACATTCTCTACTTTTTGAACATATCATTTTATTCCTCAAAAAAAAAAAGTTATAAAGTTTAGGCTAGTAAATGTGAAAAAAAGGAACACTTCATTTTTCTAAATTATCCTCATACCTGCTTAGTGAATTGCACCAGTTTGCTCTTCCTGAGTAAACCTTTTTGTAGTCCCTGACTTGGGAACCAGAGATATTTGAATGAGTTCAGGCCTCCTATTGTTCTCAAAAATGATTTTAATTTCTAGACTTTTGTGGAGTGTTTTCTCATCTGCATCAAATGCAAGCTGAATTGACTATTAATTCATCTGCCTCCATTCAAAGTCTGGATAATGCTAACATGGATATTTGTAATGAATGTACATCACAAATTAATAAACCATCTTGTATCTTTGGCTGGAGAGGTCTTGGGGAATCCTTACACATGGTAGAATGTTCTGTTCTACCTACCATGCTGGGCTTCAGTCTTAGTTTACAAACTTATGACTTCATTTTGGATGCTCGTGAACAAGATTCACCAGTTAACATACATTGTTAGTTGAATTATAACTTGCTGATTTCACCTTGGACATGTGTTTACAAAATGTGGTCAGTGAGGAATTGCTATCATTTAGTCGTATAGTAAAATGGAGAAAATTACTTCGTATACATAGGACAGAATTCTTTAGCAAAAATTTCTGGTAAAAGCAGAATCAGGTAAAAGAAGAAGACAAAAATTTGATGTCCTTGAATTTTACCCATTGGTAAGGAGAAAAAAAAAACCCACCTTTATTTCTGTATTCGTTGCTGCTGAACTATCACCCAAACCATATGAACAATTTCTTTGATACAACCCCACTGAAACAACATTTTTTCACTCCATACTAGATAAATTAAAGCTTCATTTTCTGTCACATAAAATGAAAGTTGAAATGACAATCTATTTGTAGGTTAAAAATGGAAACTGTTCAGGCTTTGGCTGGAAAATTGGCTGATGTAATATGTACATGAAATTGGGCAGCTGAAATGCATTATAATTAGCCTCCAGGTAATTCTAAATTTTGATGGGCTGTACTATTTTTGCCTTTTTCCAGTTAAACTGAATTATTTGATAGACGTTAAATAGTATCAGGTACTATTTTTTTCTTAATTCTATTTATATTCTATGTAGAAATAATATTCTAAGGAAGGGCAGTTATCTGATTGCATAATCTTTCCTGTTACCATCATTTTATACAAAGAAAAAGCCATGTCTGTTTAATTAAACCACAAATTTGCCTCTGATTCAGAAGACGCAAAACCTTTTTTTTCTCCCTTGCTTCTCTAGGCGAACAGTTCATCTCCTCCTCTTTTTTCACAGAACACAATTCTAAAGCATTTGTGACTCGTCTTACGAGTGTCTCTCTGAGTTTAGAATGAATTCAAGAGCATAGAATAAGTGTCCTAATGGAATGGCTGACCCATTTATCTTAAGAATGATAATATAAAATCGTTCCTTTCAAAAAACCTGGAATAAACATTCTTGCTCACTCCGTCTTTTATGGAGTCTTCCTCTCAGTTTACCATTTTTATTTGTCAGACCCCACAGGGAGACCTAAGCTTTGGTCAAAGACAAGCATTTAAGGTACTCTCTCAGCATTTGCGTTTTAGATTTCCCACAGGTGACAATTTAGAAATAAGTTGAGCAATTCCCAGCCAAATGCCATGAAAAAAGCATTACATTGGAAAATTGGAGTCTAAAATAAGTATTTTTTCATTTAAGATCACACACTTTAGCCTTCCTGTAGCTCTAAAGGATATTGAAAGGGGTCTAGATGAATATGTTTTATACAAATACAAAAATTAACAATTTTATAAATTAAAATAAAGAAAAGATGGATATTGGTTTAAAGGTAAAAAGTTTCAGACATGCAAAATGAATAAATTCTGGAGCATTATTCTACAGTATGGTAACTATAGTAAATGTATCATATACTTGAAAGTTGTTAAGAGATTAGATCTTAAATGTTCTCTCCCCCCCACAACACACACAGTTAACTATGTGAGTGATGAGTGTGTTAAATTAGCTTAAATATGGTAATCATTTCATAATGTATACAAATATGAAAAAAATCACTTTATATACCATAAATAGGTACAACTTTTACATGTTAATTATACAAAAAAAAAACTTGAAAAGATCAAAAGATACTTTTATAGATCACTAAAATGGATTTCAAAAGCTAATCATTGTTATTGAAGAAGATATTTCAAAGACATACCAAAGTATAATACCAATATATTTAAATAATCTAATAAAACCAGAATAGAATTATCACTCTTCTATAGAAATAAGTTCATCACTGAATACATTAACCCCTTCAATAATTTTCATAGGATTATTTTATTTTGGAGAAACACTTTTAAAACTTATTGGCTTTTGGATGGCAATGGAAAATCACTAAACCAGTATTACAAAGTCATAGTGTTTATTGCTATCCTTTGAAATACAAAATGTAATGAGTTCAAGACACTTCCACTCTATTTTCTGGAACATTGGATTTTTCCTGCTGAGCATATATTGAAGAGATCATTTTAATAAAATTATATGAATAGGGAAATGAGTAAAGTTTTCTTCCCTACTCTTAGTATGTGTGTATCTCTTGAAAAGCATTCTTGTTTGTCATCATGCATGCAGAACCATTTATGTCCAATCTTTCACCTTGATTTCCATCTCTTCGGTTGTTACAGGCACATCTTTAACACTGTTTGAATGTTTTACTCTTGTGGCTTTTTTTGTTTTGTTTTGTTTGTCTTTTTTGTTTTGTTTTGTTTTTCATGTTTGGCAGTTTGTTTTTTACAATGGAGCATATTGTGATAATCTATTAGCAAAAGGAAGAGGATCTTTGGAGCGCTGATAATTGTTTCTTAGCTTTTGGAAATCAAGAGAGTAAGAATATTTCCAGGTTAGGAAGGACAAGCTCAGCATTCTGTAACTTCACAGGTCAATGTCCCTTTTGCTAAGAAAAATTATTTTCTTTCTGACGCAATGATTTTTTTCAAGTCCTATATAATTGAGGCTACTTGCTAACTTTATTCTTGAACATTATCTTTATACTTTTGGAAAAGGAAGTAGGAAAAGGTATAGAGAAGGGATATTTGGAAGAGTGTGTTCAGATACTTCTGCAGAGTTCTGATGAGGAACGGGAAGCAAATGAATAAATGCCAAATCTGTTGTTCTGGGAGAGGTGACCTCAGGTGACATCAATGCTTTAGTTAAAATATATACCAACAGAATTTCTCTTAAAATGTATAACATCAGCAAGAACTAATTTTCACAATGTTTGAGGCGTCTCCACACAATAAAACCAATAGAGTAAAAAGTTTCCTATTCCAGGTCCTCTTTTTTTCTACTCACTACTTGGTACAAAATAGTAAAAATAATTTCTTCAGAATTCTTTAGAAACACTTATTTTTTTCTGCTAAATTAACTAGAAAATATAATGAACATTGAAGAGGGTAAGTATGCAGATGCTAACTGCAATTCAGAAGGAATATGTATTTGTCTTCTTGTTAGCCAATGAAGAATTTTCTCTAAAATGTTAAGACAAACTTTTGAGACTAAAGTACAAATAAACATGAAAAAACTCAGGGCGCTTAGCATACAGTGGGTACTCAACGACAATGGACTCCAAATGAATGGGTGATTGTTTGCACCTAGTTACACTGCTGCCCTCATTGGATTATTCTCTGCCAAAAGGTCACCTCCTAATTAACCATTAGTAGCCACTTTGATACTGTATTTTCTGTCAACAGAAAGCATTGAGCAGAACACTGCAAATATTTGGTCTTATAAGCTCTGTAAGTAAACATACATAAATGTATGTGTGTAGTGTATAATGGCACATTATATATATATATACACACATACACACATATTTATATATTTTATAATATATAAATTATGTATACACATATGTATATTTATATATCCTGTGCCATTATATATGCTATTTTTACAAATATACCCTGTATTTTATACAACGTACACAACACAAAATTTTAGAAGAATTATTACTTCTATGACCTAATGGATCTGGCTCACACTGGAGTAGGCACAGTTCAACTTTTAAGACCACGTAAATAGAGATGATTTTTCAGCATTTTTTTCATTTACTTCTCTTCTGCCCAGCCACCTTAACAATGCTCATGGCCACTGAGCAGGTCATTGAAGCATCATTTTTATTCTTCACTTTCTGTAATAACATTTTACTTCCATCTCAGGAGCTGTAGCACCTCTTCCTACAATGAATATTGTCATATTGGGGAGGTCCTGGGCACCTCCATGCCAGAATTTTAGGAAGAAAAGATAACTACTTGAAGATACCTTTAAAAATACAGGGTGTTCTCAAATTTCTACCTGCACTTATAAGTCTCTCCTGTAGGGAAGTGGGATTTTTCCTTAGAAAAAAAAATGTACAGCTCATGAGAACAAGCCATCCTCATCGACAAATTCATTATGTATTCAATATAAGTATATATTTTGTTTTTCAGCTTTCCAGAGGTTCTACATATTTCATTAAAAAATAGTGTCTTATTCAATGTGAGCTCTTTAGAACCTTGTGAGAGGCAAGACTGGAAGTGAAGTGGCAGGTGGCAGGCAGCAGGTGTGGATTAAAGCCAGTCAAGTTGCATTGTTCCACTCAGTGGGTAGGGAGTGGCAATGCAGGACTCAACCTCTGTCTGCTGCTAGTGCCCAGAAACAGTCTTCTCTCTGATTCTTGATGCCACTGCTGATTTACAGGCAACAGCACTCTTGAATGTCTGCCTTCAAGGTTTCCTTTCATATGAGTAATAAATTAACACTACAAAAATGAATGCATTTCAAGGGAAAATTTCAGTTTCTGTATCCACAAATGGTTCAGCATCAATGATCCCCTGTACTCTGTTCTTTATATTATGTGTATTTTTCTCCTATATGTTGATGTTACATCAATAACTCTATGATGAATGCTCACTTTAAGAGAATTAGATTTGGATGATAGGGACTAAATTGCTTTCAGCAAATTTTATAATTGCCCGCAGCACCCTGGATTCCTAAAGACTTTGGAATAGGCTCTTGGGCTCTGGTTAACTGTGTTTTCACATTGACCAACTCATGGTTACTTACTGGCACAATCAGGAAACATCAAAGAGCTGTAGGCAGAAAATCCCTTAGCACTTACACTTTATATAAAATTGGTCTCATAGACTAAGCCTGTGATTAAAGGGACAGTATTCAAAATCAACAGAAATGTCTAGTTACATGAGAACAGTACAAATTGTGACATTGCTCTCAGGGCCTTATCGGGAGATAAAAACATTAGATAATTTAGCTTAAGAATGAGGAAACTGAGCGAGATTGAAAGGAGATTTAATAAATCTTCGACTATGTGGAGGACATTATTATATTGACCACATTGTTAACCTGTTTTTCACTTCCAGTGAGATAAATATAAGAGCTGAACTTCAGGATAAGGGATTTAGATGAACTCCTTGGAAGAACTGCTTAATAGTAGTGGTTCTGATTTTAGAAAAAGTCACCAAGAAAATAATTAAAGACCTTGCAGAACAAAATTATCAACTATCTATGAGTAATCTATTGTTCTACAGTCAGCCAGAAGAATCAATAATTAGTCCAATTCAACAAATATTTATCAACCATTGTTTGCTAAAGTAATCTACAGTTTGGCAAAGGCAAAGGAAAAAAATATACCAGTAGCCATTGTACAGGGCATATTTTGACATTATAAGAAGCAAGTGCTTTGAGAATTCATAGAGAAACAGAAGGTTTACATTTGAGGAGATCAAGAAACAATTCACATTAAATATATCATTGGAGATTGACTTTGTTAAAAATTGAATTTTAGTGGATGAAACGGGTGTGGTATGAATTTGTGTGTGTGTGTGTGTGTGTGTGTGTGTTGTTGAGGACAAGGAAGAAAATGAATTGTGTGTGTGTGTGTGTGTGTGTGTGTGTAACAGTGTACATGGTGGAGCGGGCAGTTTGTTTCAACTGAAATGTGGAGCAAGCTAAAGCTAGTAGATGCTCTCCTAGAAAGAGAATTCATTGAGGAGAAAAGAGAGTGAAAAAAAGAACTTGGCATAAGAAGGCAAGAAAAGGGAAAATAATAAAAAGAAAGATGCTCAAATTCTATTTCATTTATTCTTTCCACAGATATTTGTTGAGCATCTGCTGTGCAGCAAGCACTAAAACTACAGGGGACCAAATATTTTCCACTTCCACAGAACTTATGATCTAGAGGCAGACAACATTGATTAAATAATGATGCAAATAAACCCAGAAGTACACCTGGAGTAAATGTTGCTGAAGAGATGAACTGATGGGGGAAGGAGTGGAGTGATGGGAGTAGTTAAGGGAAGGATATTAGGAGATAAGACTGAAGAGGTAAGTTAAGACCCACCCTAATAAGGATTAAGGGCATAGGATGTCCTTAGAGGGCTTTGAATATGTGGGTGACATAAACATAACTTCATTTAGAAAAAAAATTAACAGAAGTCCAGTGTGGAATAGATGAAAGAGGGGTAAGTTGCATGTGGGAAGGCAAGTTGGAAGGCTGTTTCAATATTCCAGGTGGCAGATTATGGTAGCTTGGTCCAGAGCTGTGGCTAAGTAGTTGGAGAGAAGTTAACCAAAAGGAGACCTAATTTGAAGACTAAATGGAGATTTATTGGAGGTAGCAATAATAGGACTTGTTGCCAGAGTTGCTGGAGAGGTTGTGAGAAGGTTGGCTCCAAGATATCTGGCTTGTACAATTGATTGAATAGAGTCACCATCTGTAGAGGCATGGGAATTGAAGAGGAGACAGGTTTCCAGGGTGCACCATGAGTTCAATTTAGGAAATGTTGAGTTAGAGCTGCCTTTGAGATTTCAGGTAGATGATTTTATAGGCGATTGGATATGTGGGACTGAAGCTCAGGTGGTCTGGGATTAACATGTAAATATGCACATCTCGTATGTGAGGATATAATTAAATGGTGGGCATAAATGGGATCACCCTGAGAAACAGTATGATATAGAATGAGAAGAAAAAGGAGCCTAGGACTATGCCTTAAAAGTCTAACAAATTAACACTGGTGTAGAAAATAATAATCTTGAAATTGTCTTCAGTGAGTTCATGAAGGTGGGAGGAAAATAGGAAGATTGAAGTATTACAGACACAAAGAAAAGAGTATGCAAGAAAAAGAAGGGAATTGGTTTATAGTGAAAGATACACCTATGGGGCCAAATAAGGTAAAGACTAGAATGTTTGTTGGATCAGCATGAGGCAAGAGTGAAAGCTTCTTCAGGAAAACTTTCTCCCATCTGCCAAGAACAGTTAAATGTACACTCATCTGAGCTCCCATTGAGGAATACCTATTCCTGTTACAGAGCCTACTATTTGAGGGTGTGTCTATCTCCCTCTCTAGGGAAGATGAGGGATGTTCTGCACAACTTATTTCTCAGAACATTGAGTAACTGCTTGAAAATGTGAAATGGTAAATGAATATTTTTTGACTATATGAGCAAAGCATAAAGAATAGTCAGAGAGGCAGAAAAACCTGGAGAAAACAAGAAGTGACAAGTGCCACAGAGTCTGAGGATAAGAAGGACTCACTAATGTGGCCTTCATCCATGTCATGCATGCTTGTAGAGCATGTAAGAGGATTGAGCTCTTGGCCTGAAATGACAGCCCTCCTTCCAGAACACTGTGCTCAGAACGAATTGACTGTCTTTTAAAAATCAGTCCACTCTATTTCTTAATCTGTGATGTCCTTGTGAATATCAGATGGGTTTGCTGAATGATATCATTGAGAGCTATCAATCAGAAACTGGAAACCAGATCATTAGCTACTTAATAAAGCAAAGGATCTGCCCTTCTAAAGCCTGAGTAAAATTTATTCTTGAAATCAGAAGTATAATGAACATTTAAGTAAGAAGGCTAATTACCACATGCTCTACATTTAAACTTTAGGAATGGAATGAATTACCTTTCTCTCCTTCACTTTCAAATGACAATTTTCTTCGTAGTTTACAGTTGTCTCCTTCCGAATCATTCATGGATTGTGATCGTAGGAGATCAGCCTTTGTTAATGAAACATGAAGATAAAATGAAAGATTACTCAATTAGAACATAATGTACTATCAGTAAACTATTTACTATTTCATATCGTTTCAAACATCTTGAGACTTAATTATTAGATTGCAGGCAAACAGCTACAATACCCTGCTCAATACTCGTCTCTTAAATATAAAATACACTGATAGAATAATTTTTAGTACTTTCAACATTTGCTGGGGAAATCATAGTGTAGAAGTTATTTATATGTGAAATGTTTAGGGATGATGTCAACATTTAAAGAAAAAATATTTCTTTATGTGGAATGTGTTTTATGCAACTTGGTAAAGTAAAAATAAGAACAATACAGTTGACCCTTAAACAATACAGGCTTCAACTGTGCAGGTTCACTTATACACGAATTTTCTTTTTCCTCTGCTACTCCTGAGACAGCAAGACCAATCATTCCTCTTCCTCCTCCTCCATAGCCTATTAAATATGAAGATGATGAGATGATGATCTTTTTGATAATCTACTTCCACTTAATTAATGGTAAATATATTTCCTCATCCTTATGATTTTCTTAATAACATTTTATTTTCCATAGCTTACTTTATTGTAAGAATACATTTTATAAAAATATATAAAATATGTGTTAATTGACTGATTACATTATTGGCAAGACTTCTAATAAATAGTAGACTATCAGTAATTAAGTTTTTGTGGAGTCAAAAGTTATATGCAGATTTTCAACTATATGAGGGTTGGTGTTCTGAATTCCCATGTTGTTCAAAAGTCAATTGTAGTAATTTAAAGAACTTTGCATAAATTATAGTATGGCAAAGAAAAATGTATAAACTAGTTAAGATTAGCTATGATGTTTAAATGACGTGGTAATTATCATAAGGTTAAATTTCACAACAATAAATATAGGTTAAATTCCATAAACATTACACTTTGAACCCTTTATTATTTTGCTCCCAGATCCTCCTTCTTCCCTCTCTGGTTCACTCTGTCTAATATTGTCTGTCTTGTAAATAAAAATGGAAGCTCCTGTTTATTTGAGTGCTGACTAAACTTTTATATAATGAAGTTATGAGAGGTAGATACTTGCTACTTTTCAAGGCAAAGTCAGAATGAGGTTGGTGACATAAAACTGAGATTGTGATAAATTACTGAATTAAAACCATTACAGAAATGTATGTTCTTAATAACTAGAATCTTTTCCACCTCAATTAAAAAAGATATTTTCGGTGTTTTAAAAAGAAATAACTATCTGAACTGGTGCATCAGGATATTAAATGGCATCTAGGGGCCCTTAAAATTCCTCTTTCTCTTTTAAGCCTCTCATGGTACTTGGGAATATCTATGACTACAGGAAGTATTAAGTCTACCCCCTCTTACCTAAGTATTGACTTTAGGGTTTGTTTTTTTTTTTCCCCAGAGAATATATTAGTTAGCATTTAAATACACTGGCAAGTATTTTTTTTTTTATATTTGATTTCTGATTTAAAAAAGCATTCAGAATTGGAGTGGAGTTGTGAAATTTTGGGGGGAAAGGGATAGAAGAGGAATAACCTAGTAATAAATTTTGGGTTACAACGTAAGTTTTATAGCCATAGAACAGTAATAGCTCATAAGGGCTTTTTTTCATAGTAGAAAAGAGTACGGAACATAAGAGCTACACTCGAAGTTCATTCTAGGTTAACTTGCATATACAATTATTTAACTATTATTTCTGTTAAACTACATATTCATTCTACACCATTAAAACCGACAATACTGTAAAACCTGACTAATTTGTACTTCTGTGATTTGGAAATTTTATTAAATAGGCAACTAAACTTGAATGAGGTTAATTTTTTCATTACTATTGTGAAGACACTGATTACCAATGTATAGTATAAATAATAGCTGAGAGACTATTCTAACCTCTGTATAAGATAAACTCAAGCAATTTTCAACAGCCTAAAATCACCCATTTCTAGCAAATAATTGGCACAGTATAAACAAAGGCTATTTTAACTCAAGTGTATCACCTAAGGGCTTCTACAAGGTCAAACCTAGTTGAACTACTTGAAATTATTCAACATATTTGAAAGCAATTAAGCTAAATTTCTTTTCTATAATTCAGAAATTTTAATATTCAGCTGGCCTTTCCTTCCAAATATTCAGAATTTGTAAAGTTTTGCTGCAATATTTTGCTTGATTTTTCAGAAGCATTTGTGCAATTCCAGAATAAACTAACATGTCAGAAATGTAAACATAAACAAACAGTTAACATATACCTTTGCACTCTCATGCCTTAGGTTGAAAGTCAACTCTAGGTTTGTTAGAAAGTGATCGGAAAACTCAGGATACATATCCAAAACCTCTAACAAGTCTTCTCGCTGAATCTTATGCAAGTCACAGTATGTGAGTGCTCTTACATCTGCATTAGACTTTCCAGGTTTAGCATAAAGATGAACCATTTCTCCAAATATATCATTTTTTCCTAAGAAAATAAAAAGAAAAAGAGGCTGGGAAAGGGAGTCCAAACTAATGTTTTCCTTCTAAAAGTAGAAGGGGGTCACTAAACAATTGATCAATCCCTGAAAACCAGACTTGGGGAGCAACGTTCCAGCACCTCAACTAAATGCACATCCTATGTTTGGTGAGTGGAAATTTATCTCTAAGAGTGATTGGTTCTTTTATTTCCTTGTTTTGGTTATTTGGCTAACCATCTAGAATGTAGCAAACATATCTTCAGTCCAGTATGCCCCACTTTGCTAGCAAAGGGTCTTGCCATATAGTATTTTAAAGATACTTTCAGGTAGGTGTACTCTGATTTTTTCAATCTGGGGATATGAGAAAGGCTGCAGTGAGTCAGATTCATGATCTTTCTGTCTTGGGATGGTCTCTGCAGGTGATGCTGAGCAAGGGGTTATGATGGAGCTGTTTCAACACTTAGTGGATTGGTGGAACAATTGGAATACACCTTGTTTCCTAAAAACCACATTTGAATTTGCCCTTATTAAATATGCCCAATTGCTTAATAAATCTAGTTATATTTTCTCAACATATATAGTCCTGCTTTTTGTTATATGGCCTTTGTTAGGGAAATTTGCCCTTGCTCTTCTGTAAAATCTAGGGTTATTTCAGTGTCTAGCTTCTAACGGGCCTTCCCCATCACCACTGCCTAGCCACATACTACCTGCTTTTCAAGGTCTTATTCCATGACAAGATAAGAACAACAGCAACAGTAACAAATATTTATTGAGGACCAGTAGGTGCCAGGCACTGTGTCAAATGCTTAGGTGCATTGCCTCAATTTATTCCTAAAATAACTTCATGAAGGAATTGCTAATAATTATCCACATTTTATGAATACAGAAAGAGCATTAAAGTGATAAACTGATTAGCCTAACGTCAACTTCTTAGTTGAATGAAGTGGAGAGAGGGAGAGAACAGCCAGAAGTAAATCCCACGCATCGTGACTCCAGAGTCAAAGTTATTGCACACCTGATACTGTGTATCTAATCTGCTTCCAATGACTTCCCTGAATGTCATGGCCACTTAGATTTTTCTGTTTCTGACTATCAAAGTAGTTAAAAATTGTACTTGTGGTATATATACTTAATACATGCTGATATATTACTTGATTATATAACTTCTAAAGATAATCAATGGCAATGTAAAATAGTACTCTCTTGTACCTATCCTGAAGCTTCTTTTCATTTTTAGAAAAAACTCCTTGAGTATATTATTTTAGATTTTGGTAGACAACTTCATGTATACCTTACTGTGGAAGCTCTCAAAGACTTTTAAGTAATAAGGTTCTAATTAGTCAAAAAATGCTGTAATATTCTTGTTTCACAAAAGAATTCAACAATGAGAAATCAAACACTGTATCTTAACTATGTAAGAAAAATTGACATTAGAAAGGATACACTAACCACAGTTTAAATAAATTTGTATCAGCCTTCCAAAAATAGGATAAACGATCATAATTTGTAAGGATTTTAGGGGCTTACATGGAAATAGGGACAGAAAAGGAGTAATTCCCTGACATTCTTTATAGTTTTGGTAGCTCAATATAGATATTATTGTTTTTAAAAAAAGACCTGAACTAAATTAAGCCTGGACTTTGTATTTCAATTACCAACATGACTATAAATGAGCCAGGATCTAGCCAGTCCATGGATATGTCTTAGCAACACTCTAAAATTACTACTTGATAAAGCAAGAAAGCTTTTTACCTTCTTGTAGAAGCTGGGACTGGCTGATTTGAAGATCGGAAACGCAACAAAGCATCCTCCTTCTCTGGCAACAGAGAAGGACAAACTGACCAGGACAAACTGTCTAGGCCAAATCTAGTGAAAACCTAACTTGATTGTGTGGCCTTAAAATGATTTAGAATATGTGTTTATTCTTTGTCAGCTTATTGGTTAGAAAACCAAATTTGGGAAATTAAAAAAAAAACTAATATAATAAAATTATCAAAATATATAAGAAAATCACTTGAACATCTTTATTCATGTATTTGAGTTCTGTGCCATGCCGTACTCTGGTTCTACACAGCAGCAGGGAAAACAGACAACATCCCTGTCCTATTGGCGATAACTATCATATGTGAACATCAAAAGCTGAGGGACATAAAATCATTGAATTACATGCCCATTATTTAAGTGGAGCTGGATAATCTACAGGGAAAAAATGCAAATTTTTACAGAAACTAAGGGTAGGCGTTATCATAGGGAGAGTGAGGCTTAAACCTACTGGCTGTATGGTAGGAGAAAAGAAGAATTGACTGCACTTCTGCACTTTTCTCTGTTTCTTTTCTCTTCCCCAGTGTCCTAATATTATAAAGAAGTACTACAAGTTCACATGGCCTAAATTTATTTTTTATTTTATTTTATTTTATTTTTTTTTTGAGACAGAGTCTCGCTCTGTCACCCAGGCTGGAGTGCAGTGGCACTTTTTTTTTTCACTGCAAGCTCCACCTTCCAGGTTCACACCATTCTCCTGCCTCAGCCTCCCGAATATCTGGGACTACAGGCACCCGCCACTACGCCTGGCTTATTTTTTGTATTTTTAGTAGAGATAGGGTTTCACTGTGTTAGCCAGGATGGTCTCGATCTCCTAACCTCGTGATCCGCCCATCTCGGCCTCCCAAAGTGCTGGGATTACAGGTGTGAGCCACTGCGCCCGGCCCCTAAATGTATTTTTAAAGAGGCAGATTAAACATGTGCTTTCTTTTGCACCCAAATCAGTTGAAGTTATGACTAATTTAATCCTTCATCACTTCTATCCCTGGTTGTTAGGTTCATAGGTCTATATTAATTACCTAGTTAAGGACTGTATGATTCCATTTAATCCGACACGGCAGGTAAAAGTGCACAGTGAATAAATGAAATTCATCAAAACATAAACCCAGTTCATGACAGGGCTTTGGCACATGCTAGCAAGTATTTCCTATAACACATATATTTTATTTTAAGGTGTTGAGGGATCAAGCATGAAGCTAAGATCTTCTAACATAAAAAAAGAATATGCTTACTATTTTCCTATATTTGGCCTCAAATGTCTAGGTAGCTGCCAAGAACTGAAGAGAATCATCGAAGCATTTACACATCGGAGAAAAAGTGAGACAGTTAAGAAAACATATTTTCTGCAAGGTTAATTTGGTTTGAACTGAATTTTAAATACAGTTTTCAAATTACCCACCACTCTTAAACTGTTCTTATAAATACATACATCAGTCTTTTTTTCCTGATCATTTTAAACTATGCATTATAAGCTAATAACTGAATCTGTCACCATGCACTTCTAAAACACTCACCCAGAATAGCCACCACAATGTCATCTTTAAGAATTTCAATGGAGCCTCTGGATAAGAAATAAAGTGCAGTGAGGACGTCCCCACAGTGAACGAGGGTGTCTCCTGGAGGTGCATGGGTGGTCTTGAACTTCATTGCCAAAGCTCTAAGGCAACCTTTACTTGCCCCCCGAAAGGCTTTGCAGTTTTGCAGCAAGGTCTGGTTGAGATGTAGACAAATGTCTGCTTGTAAGCATTCTGGGAAGCCCTTTAGGACCTGAAGAAAAAAAGAAAGAGTTTCATACTACCAGCCTTCTGGGTGTCTCCACCTGAAATACAGTCAATTTCTTGCTCACAGAACTGCAGGTGTAGTCATTGTCACGCAGGAGTTCCTACAACTCTTCTACCTCGCCTACCTCTTAATGAATACTTGGTTTGCTAAACATGTCAAAATTTTTAACTCAAATACTTGTTCTCTGAATTAACTGCAGGCATTCAGACTCAATACAAATGCTGTCTCATTAAAATATAATGCCTACAACTTTTCACACTGCTTCTCTTTCCCTGCATTATGTTATGTGGCATACTGTGCACAGATATAATGCAATGTGACAATTAATAAGACATAACTAATGAAAGGTGGTACAACTAGAAAGACAATCAACCTTTTGAAAGAATCTCAAGTCAATTTAGGTTGCCATTTCTGGTATACATCTAAGTTATAATTAGTAAAAATGTTGACCCTGAAATAGCCATGGTATTTGTAAATGTCATATACCATAGTGTGCTATTAGTTTACAGTATTTGAAATATTTATGTCTCATATGCACGTTATTAATACTAAATATTTTGATAAGCACTGAAAATAGAGAAAAGCAAGGAGGACAGCAAAAACACTTTAAAAGTGTAGTCCAATATTCAGAAATGGAAATTGCACCAGAATTTACAGTGCATACATAAGCTTCTAAAGTGCTACTGTTTTGACAACCTATTCAGGGGCTAATTTAAAACTTGTTGAACAGATTAAACAATATCTTGTGACAACTGCTACTCAATCTGAACTGAATAAAATTATTTGTTATTTTCATACAATTCTCAATATACAATGGTTCAAAGACATTCAACTCTTGCTTATCTGTGTCTTGCTATTTTGGGTGTCGTACGTAGATTTTAATTTTTATATTGATGTTCTGCTACCAGTACAAGCAGACTCATTTAGATATGCTTTGAGGTGGAGGAATGGGACATTATATAGTGCAATTTATAGTGCAATGATGCAATTTAGGCATTTCCTATCTTTTTGGATCAACTTTGGTATGCCCTCCAATATAGCTAAAAGTAGCCATGAATTGTTTGTAAGGCCAATGCATTTGGCTCACAGAGGAACTTCAAATTAAATCATACGAGAAAAAACATACAATTATTACTATTGTTAAATATTCAGGTAAGCACAAGGCTCCTACTGTGTACAGGATCACTGTGTAATGCAAGTGGTCAGACTGATATGTTATAAAGAGGATCAGTAAGATACCTGAAGCATAATAGTCATGATTTTCTGCTCTGTTTTCTTCACTGTATGAAATCACTCACAGAAATGAATAGGGAGCATTTTAGATGAAAATTCATAGAACTGAATTCTGGTCATGGATTTGTCCCAGGTTGACTCTTGTACAAGTCACTTCATCAATCTGTGTTTCTCTACCGTAGAATGAGAATCTTTGCAATATTGAATTTAACCATAATTTCAATAAACTACTCTTAAACAATGTGTCAATTGTTAGACACAGCCCATTCAGCTCAGTGTTGCTATAGGAAATCAGGTTTTCATCCTGAAGAGTCTGTATTTCCTTGCTCAGGTCCCAAAAATATATGCCTCCTTTTGATAAGAGTTTCTGGGCACTTATCTGTAATCTCTCCCCTTAACTGTAGCTGTTGGGCTTGGTCTACATGACTGGACTCCTTCCAGGTTCCCTGCTTGATGGAAGACCTCTCCTACACGATTACTTGCCTAGTCTTTGCCTGTTTCTGCCTCTGGGTGCTGGAGGCCCTTCCTACTCTTTGTTGGAATCTTATATCAACTCAGTTTTTCACATGGAAACAGTTGTCTGGGTCACTGATCCCTTCTACCATTTAAACCACTTCATTGGACTCTTTGGCAAGTGATGTAAAACTGGAGTTGAACTAAATTTGGACACAACATGGTAAAATGCTGGCCACTTTGCTTGAGGGCCAGCATTTTAGAGTGTTGTGGCCAGATTTAGTTCAACTCCAGTTTGGGGGTTGTATAGAATAAAACATCCTAGTTTATACAGGCCTCTGCAAATGAATTACTTCTCCTCTCTGACGGCCACTGCTGTGGTCTCTGAGTAATTCTAAGTAACCCCATGCAGATAAACATGTATAAAGCATTACACCAAGTAACTAATCAAATATATCCATCTGTCTTTTAAGATTCACCTGTAATAAAGTACATAAAGTCATTTTATATTTCACATGAGGAAGATATTGCTATGATTATAGTAGTTAGCATAAGAATACTGAGCCACTGAGACTGTAGTTGCTGTTTCTGGCATTTTTCCTTAAGTATCCTTAAGTAAAACTTAGTATAGAAGAAAAATTGCGTGTGTGTGTGTGTGTGTGTCTGTGTGTGTGCATGCACACATGCCTACATGTGTATTCAGGCATGCTTTGAGTTGGAAGAGAGAGAAGAGATAGAGATGAGATTCTCCATTTCCTTGAATGTGTTATTTGAGCTATGGAATCAGACAGGCTTGATCCAAAGTTCTAGCTCCATCATTTACTAGTTTGACTTTGGTCAAATTACTTAACTTCTCTGAGAATCAGTTTCTTTTTTTGGGAAAATTAAATTAATAACATGTATTTCACAGAGTTGTGGCCACAATTTAAATAAGAATGTGTGTAAACCCTTCGACGCACAAAAAATTTTTAATAGACAATGTACTTTGGACTTCCTCTGTGTTTTTGGTCAGAAATTTATTGTTCCTGAAAAAATTAGTGTATTATTTTTAGTTAGGAATAGAAAACCAAAAATCTATTGTGTTTTCTCTTTGGTCTGCCTGATAGGGTATTCTCCACTAAGTTTTGTGTACTATTGCCTCAGCAGAGTTTAAATGTTTTGTGCATTATTGCATAACCACTTTAAGAATTCTTTTTCCTTGCATCTCACTATAATTCTTGTTTCCTGTTCCTGGCTTGTTATATGTCCTGCAATACTTGAACTTAGGTTGTCACTGTGAGTAGCCCTAAATCCCTTTTGAAATTAGGTAGTCACTAAAATCAATATACAGATATGTTCTTGGAATTCCAATAGTTTTAGAATCATCCACAGAGCTTTAAGTATGATTCAGAAAGTTTTTTCTTATTAAATGTCCCCTTCCCCCAACATTCATTCTATTGGAAGTGACAGCCATTGGAAAGGATAACATCAAGTTGGAGGTGCCATAGAGCTGCTGTTGTTACGTGGAGAAGATACACAGATGTTGGCATGAACTTGCCTAGGTTAAGGACTTCTCATATGATGCTAGCCCTCAACAGATTTTCTTAATATTCTTAAGTTAGTCACATAGATCACTGAAGTAAAACTCAATAAAATTAAGAGTCAGTTGTTGAATGTCTTATTAGTTCTGTAGTTTTAACGTTCCAAATAAGTTAGCAGCTCTAGTATCTGGGTTCTGTCTAAGTAAAGGGACTTTAAAAGGGAGAGTTAAGAGTGGGAGCAATAGTGAAATAGAGGTAGAAGTACATTGAAAAAAGTCTGAAATAAGAGGTAGGTTTGAGAAGATATTTATCCAGGGCACCCCTTTCCATTGGCCTCAGCTGTATTGTCTTCTTGGCTTCCAGTTCATTGCACGTTTTTGTTTGTTTATTTTTAGGGTTGGTTCCCTTGCTAAACTCTCTGACATAGGACCTCTTCATTTATGACTCAGACACTGACATTTTACCAGGCCTAGCAAATCTGGCTACAAAGAGTTGCTATGTCAATTGCACAAGTACAAACCAGGACGCATGCTGATTTGGTGATTGTTATATCTATTTCCATTATACTATACACAGCTTTCTTGACTGTCCAGCCTTGAAGCTTTGAAGGTACATATCACCTTCCACTGTGCATTTGAAGCCATGGTTTTATTGAGGCAATCTAATTTTAAAGACCAAGAAACACCACCCAGAATCAGTTTCATGGCCTGCAGCTTGAAACAGAAGTTATCATTCTTTTAGCAAATATTTATTAAGTATCTGCTAGATATGGTTTGGATATTTGTCCCACCCATCTCAGGTTGAAATATTATCCGGAATGTCAGAGATGAAGTCTGCTGTGAGGTGTCTGGTCATGGGGGTGGATTCCTCATGGTTTGGTGCTGTCTTCACGATAGTGAGTGAGCTCTCATGAAATCTGGTTGTTTAAAAGTGTGCAGCACCTCCTTCCACTCTCTCTCTTGCTCCTGCTCCTGCCATGTAACATGTCTGCCCCCTTTTCAACTTCTGCCATGACCGTAAGTTCCTGAGGCCTCTGTAGGAGCTGAGCAGATGCTAGCACCATGCTTGTACAGCCTGCAGAAACATAAGCCAATTAAACTTTTCTTTATAAATTACCCAGTCTCAGGTATTTCTTTATAGCAATGCAAGAACAGCTGAATACACTGCTATATGCTAGGCACTATGCTAAGCATGGGAGCATAACAATGAATTAAACATGTCTGAAAATATATCTGGACTTCAAGCCTTTCTCTAAATGCCCAAATTAAAACAAAAAATTACAGTGATAATCTGAATTTCCCACACTCTACTTTCACATCAAATTTGGACATTTATACTGTAGATTTATAATACTAATGATTGTTCAAAGAAATTCTCAAGGTAAGAATTAATTTAAGGCAAATAAAAAGTTCTAATTTCATTTTTCAAATACTGGTGATGGGGACAGATTTTAAACATTTCAAGTTCCAGAAAATTTTTTCAAGGCTGCTACAAATCCTTTATCTTTATTATGATATAAGGTCACTGGAATATTTCATAAATGAATTAACTTCCTTTGACTTGAATTTATATGAATACAGCTCTTTGGGACTTTCAAAATCACATCATGACTTACAAATGAGAATTTGATCTTTTAAATGAATATGAAATGTTTTCTGTGATTGTTAAATCAATCCTATAGTTAAGTACTCAAGGACCCCAAATTTAAAGCCATTCAAACACAAATAACCCAACAACAACAAAACAAAATACCGCTATTAAATCAGAGTAAAACTCATA